CCGCGCATTATGAGCGCGCGCAACGCGCGCGGTGACACTTACGGACGGAAAATTTTGAAATGCTTAAAATGACCTGATTCGTACTCTCGTTTAATAGTTAAGTGATTTTGAGCATTTTTAAATTTTGACGCGCGCGTACGTGCGCGTCATGACCTTTATGTGACCTTTGATGACATGACTTGTTGACCCTTGACCTGAAGTATATGTGATATGAATATGAATGACCTTTGCTTATGCATCATGAAGATATGATGGATAACGTGATTTCACAAAATGGCGCCTGGATGACGTCACGATGACCTGATGACCTTGAAAATGTTCCTGTCACGTCTCATGACCATGACCTATGACTGTGCCAAAATTAAAAGAAATTGATTGAACTGATCTTCAGTTATCCTCTGAACAAAAAAGGGGGAGAAATAAAAATAAAGAATAAATAAATAATAATAAAGAAGAAAGAAAATTCTGACGAAAACAATAGGTGATCTGTTTTCAACAGACCACCTAATAAAAATCTTGACGAAATCAAAAGGTGATACGTTGACTTCGTTACGTATCACCTAATGATACGTATACTTTGTACGCATCACCTAATGATTCCTTCAAAATTTGCAATTTCAACTTTCGATTGAAAATTTCGATATGATCCCAACATCTGATCGAAAAACAAAGTACACCGTTTTTATAGCCCATGGTCTCAGCTATAACATACCCCAATTTGGGAGAAAACAGAGCACACATAAGATAGATAGTGCTCATAGATGAATGCCATGTAGATTCATGATGTGAACGAAATTCACCTTCCATAGACATAACACGCAAATGACGAAAATTCTGACATGTGGCCTTTAATTGAATTTTGTACTATGATGACCTCATTAAAATGAAACTTAGTGAAAAGTGATCTTGTAGAGAATTGCCTTATCTACAACATATCGACATTTCAAAGAGAATCGATGAATATTGAGAGAAATACACTACATTTTCCATAAATACAATGACGTCATAATATGCAATTTTGTATTTTTGACTTCCAAGGCCATTATGATGCCGTCAAGATGTACTTAATGGCCAAATGAGATATGAAATCATACCTCCGACTCATACTCTATCTAAATATGAAAAAAAAATTGGCAATCCCTATTCATCCCAATGGACTTTTCATAGGCATGTTTTTGCCCATATATGCAATGTATTACAAAAATCGCGCGTACGGACGGTTATCTTGAACGGACGCTCATTCCGTTTTTAATAGTGATAAAGAGCTAAACATGGTATCAAATTTTCCGGAAAAATATGAGGAATATTCGGTCAAGAGCTTTTGCGGAGAAATTATTTTTCGTTCGGCCGTGACGAACGAAAACGTGCAAAAATGCGTGTTTTGCGTGATTTTTTATGAAATGCTTAAAATGGCCTGAAACGTATGCAAAAAAAATTTAAGACGATTTTGAGCAATTTAAAATTTTACGCGCGCATTGACGCGCGCGCCTACGCGTACGCGCATTTTTGCGCGCATTTATTGACCTCATATTGATCCGACGGATATTGATCTTAATCTTGATAAATATGAATGTAAAATTACTTTCCGTTATGAAGATATGATCATAAGTTGATTTTTACAAAATGGCGCCTGGATGACGTCACGATGACTTTGAGTCTTTGAAAAGTCACGCAGTTCTAAGTTAGACTAAGATCTATCATCAGTGAAAGATTCATAACAATGGCTTTATTGAGTCTTGAGATATCCTGCGAACAAATTCGAGGAAGAATAATAAATAAAAAAAAAAAAAAATAAAAATCTTGACGAAATCAAAAGGTGATACGTTGACTTCGTTACGTATCACCTAATAAATAAATAACAATCTTGACGAAATCAAAAGGTGATACGTTGACTTCGTTACGTATCACCTAATGATTCCTTCAAAATTTGCAATTTCAACTTTCGATCGAAAATTTTAACATGATCCCAACATCTGATTAAAAAACAAAGTCACCCTTTTTTGTAGCCCATGGTCTCAGCTATAACATACCCCAATTTGGGAGAAAACAGAGCACACATAAGATAGATAGTGCTCATAGATGAATGCCATGTAGATTCATGATGTGAACGAAATTCACCTTCCATAGACATAACACGCAAATGACGAAAATTCTGACATGTGGCCTTTAATTGAATTTTGTACTATGATGACCTCATTAAAATGAAACTTAGTGAAAAGTGATCTTGTAGAGAATTGCCTTATCTACAACATATCGACATTTCAAAGAGAATCGATGAATATTGAGAGAAATACACTACATTTTCCATAAATACAATGACGTCATAATATGCAATTTTGTATTTTTGACTTCCAAGGCCATTATGATGACGTTAAGATGTACTTAATGGCCAAATGAGATATGAAATCATACCTCCGACTCATACTCTATCTAAATATGACAAAAAAATTGGTAATCCCTATTCATCCCAATGGACTTTTCATAGGCATGTTTTTGCCCATATATGCAATGTATTACAAAAATCGCGCGTACGGACGGTTATCTTGAACGGACGCTCATTCCGTTTTTAATAGTGATAAAGAGCTAAACATGGTATCAAATTTTCCGGAAAAATATGAGGAATATTCGGTCAAAAGCTTTTGCGGAGAAATTATTTTTCGTTCGGCCGTGACGAACGAAAACGTCCAAAAATGCGTGTTTTGCGTGATTTTTTATGAAATGCTTATAATGGCCTGAAACGTATGCAAAAAAAATTTAAGACGATTTTGAGCAATTTAAAATTTTACGCGCGCATTTTTGCGCGCGCCTACGCGTACGCGCATTTTTGCGCGCATTTATTGAACTCAAATTAACCCGACGGATATTGATCTTAATCTTGATAAATATGAATGTAAAATTACTTTCCGTTATGAAGATATGATCATAAGTTGATTTTTACAAAATGGCGCCTGGATGACGTCACGATGACTTTGAGTCTTTGAAAAGTCACGCAGTTCTAAGTTAGACTAAGATCTATCATCATTGAAAGATTCATAACAATGGCTTCATTCAGTCTTGAGATATCCTGCGAACAAATTCGAGGAAGAATAATAATAAATAATAATAATAATAATAATAAATAAATAACAATCTTGACGAAATCAAAAGGTGATACGTTGACTTCGTTACGTATCACCTAATAAATAGTAATTATCGAGATCCTATCTGACATAGTTTGTTTTACGATGCGCCATTCATGGTCAAACAGCATATATTATAAAAATTCTCTATATAAAGATAATCTAAATTTTTTTTGGAAGCACATAGGCCTCTATCTATTTGGCCCCCTCCCCTAGAATCCCGTGGATTTTCCACGGGTCCTGCTAGTTATTATTAATATCATGATCATAATTTATCATCAATATCATCAGATATTACTATTATTATTATCATTATCATCAGTTATTATCAATAATATTATTACTTTTATTATTATCATTATCATCAGTTATTATCAATAATATTATTACTTTTATTATTATCATTATTATTATCCTTATTATCATTGTTACTATTATTATTAATCCATGATTGTTATAGTGGATTTAAAAATAACACATAATTTTACCATAAAGTTACACCAAAAAAATTCTACAAATTATGCCCCCTTTTAAAAAAAAGAAATGGGTACAACAAGGCCTCTATTTTTTGCTTATCGAGCACACATTCACACAATTTAGCCTACTTTCACGAACACAGGTACATTCTAATTCACATGTTTGCTAACATCATGGGGGGGGGGGGGGATTAGGACAATTACCCCTTCGACAATTACCCCCGGAAAACTACCCCCCCCAAGGACAACCACCCCCAACCCTGAAAATACCCCTAGGACAACCAAGGACAACCACGAGAGGCCAATTACACCCCACCCCCTGTTCATTAAAGGGGAAGTGTACCCTGATGATAATAAGTTGGTTTTAATAAAAACAGAATATATTTTCAGAGGTGATAATCCAAGGGGGTAATTTTCGAGGGTAATCGTCCTCAGGAAGGGTGGGGGGGGGGGTGGTTTTCCTAGAACTCACACAAATTAGCCTACGTATGAACACATGTACACACTCATTCACGTGTTTGCTAACATTATGGGGGGGGGGCACATTGTTTGTAAACTTTCTTGCTCTTTCGCAAAAAAACATACCCTTATTACCCCTTTTTCTAACTCTCATTAGAAATTTGGGGATCACCTTTGAAAATGTTGATAACTTAAATAACTGTGCCATTACAAGAGAAATCCCTCCCTATAAATAACATAATAATAAACTTTTAAAAAGAGAGAAAAAATTAAATTTTCCTTGTTCATAACAAATTGTGTGATCCCTCTCTGCATAAAACAGGTACACAATGTGCTCTTAACACTACTCTGTTTTGGGCTTATTGAATACACACTCACAAACTGATCCTATAACACTTTCTACATAGGCCTTTCACATGTTTCGAACATTGTGACAATATTATGATCCCTTTCTCATGCAATTTCTAAACTAACACCAGATAGTGGACTGTACTCATCAAGGTGAAAAAGAAGAAAACAGCCTTTTTACAAATATCTAAACATTTGCAAACATTGCCAAAAAATACCCCCTTTTACACCAAAATCAGTACAGGGCTTGAAGCCAACAGGCTAGCCAGAACACATAGACACCCACAATCTAAGTCTGGACCGTTAAATTTGGAAGTTGTAACTCAGGGCTCATGCATACTGACTGTAAAAAGTTAAATCTGGACCATAAAAAAAAAAGTCAGTGTGGAGCCCTGTATCAGGCATACACAAAGTCAAGATGTAGTGTTACCAGTGGGACATTAGGGACTTTTAGATTTGCGTGGACTGAAACGTGTGACGTCTATTCAAGGCAGTGCATTAAAAGGACGTCGATCGTAGCAATCCCCATTGTCTTTGTGCGAATCTAAAAGTCCCTATTGTCTTACTCTACCGATACCAGAGCAACTAGACTTCATACTTTGATTGCTTCTCTGGAATTTCAGGATCATCCTGCGGAACTCTTGACTGAGTAGAAGGAGCTTGCCTCTTACAAGGCCTGCTCAGACCGCTGCTACCTTCTGCATATGTCTGAGACAATTGACATACAGTATCTGATGTATCTGATGTATTACCAACATACTGTTGAGGGTAGTCTGATGGTGGTAACGTCCTGAGGAATGAAAGAATGATTATTACAATCTTTGCAACTTGATGGTACCACCGTGACCGTGAAGTTATGGGTGTAAGTGTGGAGTGCCACAAGTGTCAAGTTTGACAGACGCAAGTGCTAAACTTAAATCCACTGTTATCATTACTGTTATCATCCTTATTATTATTATTATTATTATTATTATCATTATTATTGTTATTAATAATTATAATAAGTTGTTATTATCAATATAATCAGTTATTATTATATATATTATATATAGTATTACTATTAATCCATGATTGTTATAGTTATTGGCACGTGACATGATTGACATCCCGGTATAGCTTTTAAGGAGCTGCTTTTTGGGATTACTGCAACAAGTAACAAGGAGTAAAAAATAATCCCCTATTTTACATAATAATTACACAAAAATTGTCCACTGACAAAATATGCCCCTTTAAAAAAAAAAAAACGGTTACTGGTACAAAATGGCCTCTAAATAAAATATTATTTATTTTGCTTATTGCGTACACATTTACACAAAGTAACCATGGTTATTGGGATTTTAGAACTATTTTTTAGAACTATTACATGGGTTTGGAATTTTACCCAGAATTTTACAGGAATTGTTAAAGTTTATGAATGCAATTTCGACCAATCAGATGGCTGGATTTCTTAAGTGAGGTATATAAAGCATGGTTTTTCATGGAAAAACATGTGATATTCTCAGTAAAGGAATTACACGTGACCGTGCTTGACCTATCATTTGATGAGGATCAAGGAGTGAGTTGCATAGCAATAAAATTATTTTTAATTCATTATGTTTAGTTCACTTACAATCGCCTGTCAGTGAGCTCCTGCAGGAATGAATCGATATCTACTTGGTACTTTCCGTTGAACTTGAAATTTCCATTACTGATTTGAGGAAAAGAACCCTGAAAAGAAATATATGAGTATGATTGGTGATAGTGATTCTTCTAGTTTTCCTCCATTCAAGTCTGGCTGACATACTATACCATACATGTACATACCAGGTCAGTACCCTCTCTGGCATATAGACTTAGTGTCCTTGTTACGCTGACACCTCATATACACCGCCCCTCCCCACCAAATACACACACATACAAAAAAAGCTATGTTGATTGAACTGGTCAATATTTCAACAGAACTTTATGCTGACACCCCTCCTCCCTGATCATGCACCTGTCCAAAACATCAAGGACAAAAACAAAAACTGTGCTTAAAATAAGTACACTGTGATCAAGATCTCCATTCTTGTTTAGTGACTATTCAATCTGACGTATACTCTCAGACCCATGATGACATTATTCAAACCTTATGAATTGATTTGAACTATTTGTATCTATTAGTCTTTAGAGTACTTCAGTGATCTGTTTATAATGAAATTGTATTATTGCGTAACTAGTAACACAACACTCCCCCCCCCCAAAAAAAAAATAGATGGAATTCGACTGCGCGCAGTCGAAAATGATGCCTCCGTCATAGAGCAATTTTACAAACCAAAACACAAGAAATTTTTTGAATTCAAGTTCAATTGTAATTCATTAACAGGTTCTCAGAATATTGTGATTACAAGCAATTTCTCATATACATATATGACCCTTTGATCTTTGACCTCATGACCCTAAAATCTACTCAGTTCATTGGCTCTGCAAGATGTCCTGAGTTAAATAGTAATCCATCTGTCAGTTCTAATGAGAATGCGTTCACAAGCTATTTTTGCATACATAATGAGCCCATGACATTTGACCTTATGAACCAAGAATCTACTCTAGTTCATTGGCTCTGCAAGTAACATACATGACCTAATTTTGGCAGCAATTCATCAATCGGTTCTTGAGATAACGCGATCACGAGCTGTTTTTGCATACATAATGAGCCCTGTGACCTTTGACCTTTGACCTCGTGACCCCAAAATCTAATCAGTTCATTGGCTCTGCAAGATACATACATGACCAAAGTTTGGCAGGAATCCATCAATCGGTTCTTCAGATAACGCGATCACGAGCTGTTTTTGCATACATAATAAGCCCTGTGACCTTTGACCTTTGACCTCGTGACCCCAAAATCTAATCAGTTCATCAGCTCTGCCAGTAATATACATGACCTAAGTTTGGCAGGAATCCATCGGTCGGTTCTTGAGATTACGCGATCACGAGCTGTTTTTGCATACATGATGAGCCCTGTGACCTTTGACCTCGTGACCCCAAAATCTAATCAGTTCATCCACTCTGTAAGATACATACATGACCAAAGTTTGGCAGGAATCCATCAATTGGTTCTTCAGATAACGTGATCACGAGAACGGGACATACGTACGTACAGACGTGTGTACAGACATACGGACGGACAGACGGACTGACAACCCGAAAACATAATGCCTCCGGCTACTTCGTAACTGAGGCTTAAAAATCCTAAAACTCATCTCCAATGCTGCATGTGCACCTGAATTCATCATGGCATGGATAAAGAGTACAAACACACATACATACCTGTAAGGTTGACGCCTTTGCATTCAGTGTAGAAAAGAACTCCTCCTGGACATCCCTTCCATGTAGTATCAGGTCAGTCAGGTTTGGCATGGAACACAAAGCATTTACTAGGTAATGTGAAGAGGCTGATGTTGGACATCTAACATCATCAAGCTCGACAGATTGGACCTACATGTATACAAACAGTGATTGATACAAGTACATTACCAGAGTACACCTTTTCATTGAATTACTGCAAATATAACTGGGTGCTCTGATATACATGTATGTGTATGGCTATGCTTGGATGACAAATGCAATGGGCTTTATATAGTCAAATACAGGATTTGGATAAGGGCTGCAAATAGGTTTGAGCTCAGGTTTAGTGATAGGAATACTTTTTGGTGCAGGGATCAAGTTAAGAATTTGGATAGTACAGGATGGAAAGCACAGAAAAATTGTTGATGGGGCATACGCATTAAACAAAACGAGGATAGAAAAATTATACAGACGTAGTGCATTTTCTTACTTCATACTACATAGTGATGCATTCAAGGAATATATCCTAACAGGTACCCACTTATATTACTTCACCTAGGACAAGTTTTGCAAATGTAGATTAATGTCTTGCCAAACAACATGAGTGCTACGTATGGCAGGGATTCGAACCCCATACCTCATGGTTCATGTCCATAGAGTGATCTATCCAATAGACAACGAACATCTCTACATGAACAATGGTTGATAACAATTATTTTATAATGTATAATACCCATAAACGGGTAACTGATTTTAATAAATAGAGATGTATTTGTCTTGGAGAATTAAATATAAAACAAAGAAGAAACTATCACTTTTTTGATTATTTAGACACATTTTTGACATTGCCTTACTGCTATAATACATTTGTGACTAAATGAATGCATTATACATGAATGTGTATGTAGAGTGTGTACATGTAGATTTGCTTAAAATAAGTACTGTGATCTAGATCTTCATTCTTGTTTAGTGAGTATTGAATCTGAAGTATACTAAGATACTACTTTCAGACCCATGAGGATATAATTCCCACTATATGAATTGCTCTGAACTTAAAAATATGAAAATTACAAACAAAATTATTTGTATCCACTAGTCTTTAGAGTACTTCCGTAATCTGTTTATACTGAAATTGTTTTACTGCATAAGTAGCGACATGACACTCTCCATCCCCCCAAAAAGCTTACTTAAAAACTTTAAGTTAGTCTTCATTAAACCAAAATATCTTTTCTGAGGCAATCCTTTAAAAGTGATGTTTTTTGCAGAACATCATATTTTTAACTCGAGCCATCTGAATTCTGTATCTTACACTGCACATGAAAACCCCTCTTTTTATAATACTGTTCCTTTGTCTGCTAAGACTATTATACATTTTCAAATAAAACATTAAACACCTTGAAAAATTATTGACTGCATGTTGTTAAAATATCATAACTCCTTAAATTCATCTCGAATGCTACATGTGTACATGAATTCATCATGACATGGATATAGAGTACAAACACACATACACACCTGTAAGGTTGACGCCTTTGCATTCAGTGTAGAATAGAACTCCTCCTGGAAATCCTTTCCCTGTAGTGTCAGGTGAGTCAGGTTTGGCATGGAACACAAAGCATCCGCTAGGTAATGTGAAGAGGCTGATGTTGGACAGCTAATGTCATAGAGCACGACAGTGTGGACCTACATGTATACAAACAGTGATTCATACAAGTACATTACCAGAGTACACGTTTTCATTGAATTACTGCAAATATAACTGGGTGCTCTGATATACATGTATGTGTATGGCTATGCTTGGGTGACAAATGCAATGGGCTTTATATAGTCAAATATAGGATTTGGATAAGGGCTACAAATAGGTTTGAGCTCAGGTTTAGTGATAGGAATACTTTTTGGTGCAGGGATCAAGTCCCCCCCAAAAAGCTTACTTAAAAACTTTAAGTTAGTCTTCATGAAACCAAAATATCTTTTCTGAGGCAATCCTTTAAAAGTGATGTTTTTTGCAGAACTTCATATTTTTAACTCGAGCCATCTGAATTCTGTATCTTACACTGCACATGAAAACCCTTCTTTTTATAATACTGTTCCTTTGTCTGCTAAGACTATTATACATTTTCATATAAAAAAATTAACACGTTGACAAAATATTGACAGCATGTTGCTAAAATATCATAACTCCTTAAATTCATCTCCACTGCTGCATGTGTACCTGAATTCATCATGGCATGGATATAGAGTACAAACACACATACATACCTGTAAGGTTGACGCCTTTGCATTCAGTGTAGAATAGAACTCCTCCTGGAAATCCTTTCCCTGTAGTGTCAGGTGAGTCAGGTTTGGCATGGAACACAAAGCATCCGCTAGGTAATGTGAAGAGGCTGATGTTGGACAGCTAATGTCATAGAGCACGACAGTGTGGACCTACATGTATACAAACAGTGATTCATACAAGTACATTACCAGAGTACACGTTTTCATTGAATTACTGCAAATATAACTGGGTGCTCTGATATACATGTATGTGTATGGCTATGCTTGGGTGACAAATGCAATGGGCTTTATATAGTCAAATATAGGATTTGGATAAGGGCTACAAATAGGTTTGAGCTCAGGTTTAGTGATAGGAATACTTTTTGGTGCAGGGATCAAGTTAAGAATTTGGTTAGTACAGGATGGAAAGCACAGAAAAATTGTTGATGGGCATGCGTTAAAACAACAGGAGGATCGACAAACACAGCCATAGTGCATTTTCTCACTACATAGTGATACAAACAGTGATTCATTAAAGTACATTACCAGAATACATGTATTTATTGAATGACTGCAAATATAACTGGGTGCTCCAATATCGTGTATGTGTATGGCTAAGCTCAGTTGACAAATGTTCTGGGCTTTATTAAGTCACAAATATATATAGGATCCGCATGAGAGCTGCAAATAGGCTTTGAGCTTAGGTTTAGTCTTACGGTATATTATAGATTTTAGTGCTGGGTTAAGTTCAGAAATCGGTTAGTTCAGGGTAGTGGGCGCAGAAAATGCATCAAAAAAGATTTATAGGACTAACTTTTACTATTATAGCCGTAGTACATGTAACTACTGCGTATTCATCTGAGTAATTGCATCCATCCAAAATATTTATGAACAAAAACAAACACAGGACGCTGAGTAATACCCAGCTCATCTTGAACATAACTACAATATGAAGGTTACGTTAATTTGCCAAATAGATTTTCAATTTCATTAATTTACATATACTTCTAGATCAACATGTAATTTTCTCTTTATATGACTTTTGTTTACTAGCTGTTGAAATAGTTGAAATATTTATTGGTTACTGAATCATCATAGGTTATAACAATAATGTGACAATGTCTTTACATGAGTATAAAACATAAGTTAAATTACATTTCCACATTCAGTAAATCATAGATACATACGCTCGAAGAGGTGATGATACAGAAGGGCTACAGCCTAAGCGTGACAGCTTGATACGCTTGCAGCCCAGAAACATTTAAAATCATAACGATTGTAAAGTAAAGTAAATTACAGAACATAATTGGGGGAAAATAACAAAAAATAAACAGTGACTTGCAACCAAAAAAAAAAAATGGGATAGAGGGTGCATGGGAGGGGGATTTTCCTGCTATATCAAGGAAATGCTGACAAACATATATGATATCATGTGTTAATTTAAGAGATTTGTCAATATTTACTCAATAAAATTGATTTCACACTTTTCTTGAAAGTATATACTGACTTCAAGTTACGGATGTCAACGGACAGTGAGTTCCAAATATCCGGACCAGAATGTCTTATAGATTTCATAGCCATTGTTGTTTTAGGATTACATAAATGGTATTTATTTGATTGTCTGGTTGGGTATGTATGAATATTTCTATTCAAACAAAACATTGGTGGGAAGTGGGAAGGTAGGGAATCATTATGTAGACGGAACATGAACAGTGCTTTTTGTAAAAAGTTAATGTCAGTTACTTTCAGAGTTTTTAACCTCGCGAATAGGGGATCAGTGTGATCGCGATATCCAGCATTGGTACACACACGAATCGCTTTCTTTTGTAAAAGTAGCATTTTATCAGTATATACTTTTGAGTCTGCCCACAGTATATTGCAATAAGACATGTAAGGAAGAATCAAGGAATTGTATAGCATATATAGAATATTCAAAGGCACATAATGTTTTAACTTATACAGTAAACCAACAGTGCGTGACACTCTCTTTGAAACGTAATGTACATGATCACTCCATTTCAGATTTTCATTGATGATAGTTCCAAGAAATTTAGTATTTTGTTTTTTCTCCAAATATTCACCATCCAAGACTATTTCAGGTATAGGTTTATCAGTTGCATTTTTCCTGCTTTGAAAATGAATATAATTAGTTTTTTTCAGATTCAGAGACAATTTGTTGCTCCTAAACCACAAAGACAGCTTAGGTAGCTCGGTGTTCAGAATTCTCTGAAGTGATCGAAAATCGGAATTGGAGCAAAACGCATTAGTATCATCAGCAAATATAATATATTGTAATGATGTAGTTGAGTTCGAGATATCATTAACATACAGTAGAAACAATAAAGGACCGAGTATCGATCCTTGTGGGACACCACATTTCATAGGCAATAATGATGAATCTACAGATTCGTAGCTTACATATTGCTTTCTACCTGACAAATAATCATTAAACCAGTCAAGAGCAACTCCTCTTACTCCGTAATAATGAAGTTTGCTTGATAGTACCTTGTGATCAAGAGTGTCAAATGCTTTGCTTAAGTCCATGAATACACCAATAACATGCTTTCGAGACGCCAAAGCATTCGAAACCTTATCATATAATTGTGCAAGGGCTAAATCGGTTGAGTGGTATTTCCTGAAACCATATTGATCCTGATTCAGTAAGTCATTTTCTGTTAGAAAACAATATAGCCTATTGTATATAAGTCTTTCCAATACTTTGGACAAACTCGAGAGAATAGAAACAGGGCGATAGTTTGAGACTTGGGAAGAGTCATCCTTTTTGTATATCGGAACAACCTTAGCAATCTTAAATGCTTCTGGAAATGTACCTGTCGTCAGAGAGAGATTAAAAATATGCACTAGTGGGGTTATTATATTTCCTATAACTTGTTTAAAAAGATATGTGCTTATCCCATCATGACCGTTAGCATAGCTTATTTTAAGAGAACGTGCAATATTCAAGATTTCAATCAAGTTTGTTGGTTTGAGAAATAATGACTTGTTGCAGGGAGTTTGAAGAAATTGTGAGAAGTCGACTCCGTTCGAAGCTATTGTATTGGCCTGATTGGGGCCAACCCCAACAAAGTAAGCATTGAAGCAATTTGCTATTTCTTTTGAATCAACCATTGTATTATTATCTTTGGTAATATGACACTTTGATTTACTCTTTTGTTTTTTGAGGGCTTGATTGATCACATTCCACGTTGATGATGCATTTCCATTTGCATTTTCAAACTGCTTGGCAAAATACATTTGTCGAGACTGTCTAATAATGGTGGTTAGTTTGTTCCTATGTGATTTGTAATTATTCAAGCTTTCCTCTCCTGGGTGTCGAAGACTATATTTATATAATCTATTCCGTTTTTTAATAGAGCAAAAGATACCTTTAGTTATCCATGGCTGCTTGATTCTATTTCTTGCCGATCTTTTTTTAGTCATTGGGATATGTTTATTTAAAAGAGAGGAGAACAAGTTCCAAAAAAGTGCATATGCCTTATTGGTGTCAGTACATGCGACCACGTCATTCCATGTTACTTAGAGTAGTTCGTCATTAAACATGGCTATTTTTTCAGCTGTGATTTTACGTATCATAGCTTGATTCTTTTCGTCCTCAGGATAATTGCGAACATGATTACAAATCAGGAAAATTGGAAGGTGGTCAGAGATTTCACTATACAAGAGGCCAGAGCCTATATAGTTATTGGTGACATTTGTAAAAATGTTATCTATCAATGTAGAAGAGTTATTTGCCAATCTGGTTGGTTTATCAATCATGGCATTGAATGAATTTGATCATAACATATTATGAAAAGTATTATCTTCCTGCAAAAGATCAATATTAAAATCACCCATCAAGTAAACATCCTTATTTTCTAGATTGACCTTATGCAGCATCCTATCAAACTCATCCAAAAATAATTCAACATTTGTATGCGGAGGCCTATATATTGTACATATCAAGATGTTTTTCCTTTGAGCCATATTGATTTCAATGCATATCGAGTCAGTACCATCACTCTTCAAACTAAGGTCAGATCTAATTTTGTATGTTAACAAGTTTGAGATAAACATAGCAGCTCCACCACCCCTTCCGGTTTTTCTATCAGAACGTACAATCGAATAATTGACAATATTACATAAAGTAGATGGAGATGTATCATTAAGCCACGTTTCTGTGACTCCTATGACTGAAAACGGTTTGGTGAGGGCCGACAGCAGAATGTTCAGATATTCATAATTTTTAACAAGACTTCGTGCATTTGTATGTAATAAGCTAAAGGAATTATTTTCACTCTCAAATCTTGAATTAAATTCATGGCTGCTGTCATCATGTGATGAGGCTGGTGTGAGGCACTCAACATCATGAAGGCAGAGAGTCTTGATCTGTACAGAAATTGAATGACTGAAATAGGTTTAACCCTATTTAGCCCGGGCTATTTTGAAACTGCATAGCTTGGGGGGGGGGGGGGGGCTTCTAAGGCCCCCCCCCCTATGATCTCGGCCGTGAAACGCCCGATCGTCGCGAAAATTTGCATACATGTCAAGTGAAGTGTATAGAATACTATGGTAATTTCAATTTTTTGAAAAATTCACTCATTAGCATATTTATGGTAATTTATGCAAATAAGGTCATCAAATTCACATTTTTGCCCATAAATCAGACATTATTCATATTTTAAGCATTCTTTCTCACTACATATATTTTTTAGACAATTTGGAATAATAATACAACACAACAAATTGAAAAACCAGGGTTATTCCTTATGTTATCTATTGTTTTGATAATTTTTTATGTATTTCTTTGTTTTTTTTAACTTATGTATTTTATTGTTTTTATTGTTTTATTTTATTTCCAACTATAATTAAACTATTTGGACCCAAAAATAAACACCTAAACTATAAACAAGACCAAATAACCAATGTTTTATCTCTTTATTTGAAAAATGAGATTTCCATATGTTTTGTACACAAATCACAAAAATGAGCGATTTTCGGGCTGACATGCAAAGACAAACTGACACGTGACTTCATAACGGGAGGTTTGATTTTCAAAAAATTTCTTTCAAAAGATGCGCAAGGCTCCTTTTTCTTAATGATTGAAGGGACAGTGAACGGTTGGGCTGGGCGATGGGGGGAGACACAAGTGGCAGGGGCAATTCATAAATTCCCCCCAAAATTAGTAATTCTGATTTGTAATTAATACAAATTGTGTAAGGTAATTGTAGAATCTTGGTTTTTATATGACATGGTCAAATAAAACATAGAATCCTGTCTGGATCTACAAATACTTTAATGAAGTTCTATAAATGACTAATCCAGAAAAACAGAATATTCTGGATTATTTGTAAGGGTTGGCAGGTATGTAATATTAGTTGAATATGATCTGAAAATTACAGATGTTTTGCTTTTCATGTAAAAAAAGTTATAGCATAACAAAGTTCATTTTGGACAATATGCAGTTTAGTTCCCTGATAATACATTTAATATGAGTCATCATTGCCGCATACCGTATGTGTCAAGTTTGCAACTGAAATGTGAATGATTAATTGCATTCTTCCCTTTTTCTATAAATGACTAAACAGAGTTGTTAGCAACATCAGACAGACAGGAAATCAAACATTACAAGTACATTTCAACTAATAGAATGATGAAGAAACTATCAGAAACTTCCTAACCAGCTTGAACATTTTGGTATGAGGTAGGAATTTCAGTTGCAGGTTTGAGGATGTAGTAAGTTTTGCTAACTCAAATCAGAATATTTTTACTCTTAGCAAACTTTTGGATTATTGATAAAATATTATCTAGCAGCTTATTACAGAATTTCCATATGTAATCATCTGGCATCACTATGGAGCAATCCTGAAGATTCTTCTCAAGGACTCTGTATTAAAACATTACCTGATGTAAATATATGAGAAAGTGAACCAATAAATATATAGTTTCTTATACTAGTTCCACTTTAACACTTGTAGATTAGAATAAACCTTAATATAATGTAGCATAAATTTTGTTCCATCTTGTGTTTTGGATCACAACACTTAAATCGGATTTGCAACCTTTTGTGATGACTTTACATGTTTGTTACATCCAATGCTCCTGTTAATCCAATACTAATATACCTATTACCCCCATCTCAATGTTGTTTTATAATTGATATAGGTATAAGAGGGTGACATTGACCAAAGCAACCTCATACTAGATGAATTTCAGATTTCCTGGGTCTGTCTTTTAAGATCTTACAAGAATTACAAGAAAGAGTGAAAGTTTGCCTGCTAATGTAAAGTAACATTTCAAAGTTACGTTTATATCAAATATAAATACAGTGCAACTATTATTCAAATGATACACCCCTCTATATTATAGGTTCCTACAGCAAGATGAGTAACCAGCCAAGAAAAACGTGTGGCAGATAGTGACATGTCCATGAAGCACGTGCCTGCTAAGAAGTCTTCCAAAGATATGAGCACTGACTACACAAAATGCATCATATGCCAACAAGAATCTGTGATAAGCCTATTCTTCATCCAGTTACGTGTGTAACAACATATATGAACAAATTTAAGGCTCTTCGCATTCTGGTCGGCCAAAGTTAAACCCTTATGATGTTGTAGATGAGCTGGAAGCTCCTCTTTTCCAGCTCCTGGTCTGTCCACATTCCTCATAGAATCATCCGCGTAAGGTACCAAGACATTCTTGAGGAGCTTGGTGTCGATAAAGGAGATAAATACCGGGCGACCATCTTGAAACATACATTACATGAATACTATAGGTCACATATTTTGGTTCTCAATCAAACCAAAGGTTCAGGATTTATATGTGCTTCCACATTACCACTTGGTGACGCACTGAAAAAACTGAGGCGCCTAGAAGGAGATGATATCGAGGGATAACACCATACACTCCTGCAAGCATCAAAGATTCTTAGAGCAGATTGTGAAGTGTAAGAAAGAGATGTGTGAGAAAAATTCAACTGAGATTTCATTCACATCTGCATACAATATGGTTCCAGACTCACTCACTCTTCAGATGGCCATGCAGACTGAGGACGTTCTGCTTATGTGGCGCCTCGGTAGAATGATCACAACTTCGCAACTGGTGGATGCTCCTAGAGTTTTAGAAGCAGGACTTCCGGGCTTTTCCTCATTCCGTGCTGACCTCCATCCACATAGACAGGCTAGAATCATTGGCTATCTTCCTCTGATCCCATCTTCTCCAACTGACCCTACTGTACTAAAGGAAATGATGATTTGACTTGTCAGGACATCACATGCACGTGGTAACAAATACACAATTATAACTGGAGATCAGGCTACATATGAGCTCGCTGTAGCCATCAGAGACAAGCATCGTAGTGAGTTCAGCAATGTGGTCTTACTGCTGGGTGGCTTTCATCAAGCTCACAACTACATGAAAGCAGTTTGCAGATCTTTAGGGCGGCAGGTGCAAAAGATATGTTGCAGCTGGTCTGTGCCAGGGAGGGGCTACTACCAGGCCATACATGCCCTCAGAATCCTGAGCGAAACTATGTGGCGCCTCTACTAGGAAGCATTCTAGACATGATGGGCAGCAGACAGAGAAACAGATCACTGGCAGCCTGAGGTGGAATCTGTCTTGAAAATGCTCTATGAAAAAGACATCACTGCCACTGAAAAGTTGCAAATGCTTCAGAATTCCCATGAACAGTTATAAGCCCTTCAGGAACTTTTCCCAGAATCAATGGTCGATCAACCAACAGCAATCTTCTGGTCCACCTTCCTGATGTTCTGCATAGATTTAACTACTACCAGCGAGAAGCTGACTGGGTAGGACATGTCTGTGAATCATATTGAATGATACCTTAGCTCAAAGCAGCAGGGCATTACAAATATGGGCAGCAGTCTCTGCCTCTTTATCTTGATGAGATGAAAAATCTTCCTAAAACAGCCCCTGATGTACATGAAGCACTTATGGCGGGTGCATTTGTTGCAAGGAGAGCAGATGGCAAGCACAATTGTGTTTCTCCTGACATGCTTCTTGAACAGACAAATGCAGATGCCAAGTAAAGAAGAAAGCGGTCATGACGGAATTACACCTAACCCCGCCGCATGGATAAAATGGGTTTAAACAATTAAAACCCATCACATCTGTCTCTGCACAGTAAATATCGATGCTGCATCTTCTTTCACCCAGCCGTAACAATGAATCTGGTGTATGTCGAGTAACAAGGGACACAGAGATGGTCATCAAGGTAATGGTAGCAGTCGAGACGAATCCATCCAGTGCAACTACAACATCCCTGATAAATGTGTCAACTGGGCAATGTGCTGATTGCACAGTTTAGGACAACTTGAGCAGTGTTAAACAAATAGGCATGGAGGCACTGTCTCAATCACTGTCCAGTCTTCAGAAGAAGACAAGTATTATGAAGCTGAACACGTTCCACACACAAAACGAGAAACAAAAGAAGTCTGGGCCCACAAGAGCTAAATCAGGGAAGAGTGATGAAGTAACTGCTCTCCTGCGTATGACACAGATCATTGCTAGTGATGGAGAACTAGAGATTGTTGACTTGGTGAGAACCCCAAGGCAAGGGCCATCACTGACGTTGTATCCAGAGAACTAATCAAGGAGGTATTAGGGCCATCACAACATATATTAACACCTCAGCAAGTGAGGACTTCAAGGAGTCTGATCTGGGCAATCTCAGAGCATACAAGTTTTTGAACAACAGATCTATACTCTCCTATTAAAGGCTCCTCCCCCCCCCCCCAAACATGTAAAGAGAGCTGCATGCCCTTGCAACGATGATGAATAAGAGAGCACACATTGCCAAGCCTTAAACCCCACCCTGGACAGAATTTGGGTGGAATCTGGATGATCAGCACGTGCTTCCTGTTCGAAGTACCCATCAAGCCTGGCCCGTTTCAATGAAGAAGGCTATATCATGCGGATGTACTGAAGGGTGCAAGAAGAACTGCTCATGTGCTAAGAAGGAAATACCGTGCTACATAGGGTGCCACTACCAAGGACTATCAAGCAAATTTAGCAGGATGCAGGACATCGAATACGACATCAGAGCAGCGAAAATCAGTGACAGAAGCAGCGACTCAGACAGTGATTAGGAAAGAAAAACAGTAATATCAGAAATAAAGAATATAGGTAGTCGCTTTAAATGTAAATAACTATGATGTACCAGGAAATCGAGTTTGTCGACAAATTGAATAACATTCTTAAAATGCAAGTTCATCTCTTATTTTCATCTCAATTCCCTTTTCAATTAGATATCATCATCATCAGCCATATTTTTATTTACATTTAAGCAGGTATGTGCACTGTGATTTTAGCCAAAAAAGCTGTTGGCCTGTGCGTGGCAATTTTAAAATTAAATGTCATATTTGATTCATATTACTTTAGAACATTCTCCAAATTGATTCTTTGACTTCACAAACTTTGGTCCGGAATCCAATATACACTACAGACGGTTGTATAGTCAAAACTAAATTGTAAAAAGAAACCCTGACATGATGCAGAAATTTTAAATTGAGGTTAATGCAACATGTCATGAATGTAAAATCAGAAAGAAGTTAAGTGAACACTAAATATAATTCAAGACTTGGCAATAAAAACCTTTTCTGATAGGCTTTAAATTATTTGAACACTTTGCATGTATTGACTCCCAATGTGCATTTCCCATTCAATACTCAAGTTTATTATGGTTTATCCCTAAATCTAACATTCAGGGGTAGCAATATCTTGTCATAGCAGGAATGGGGGGGGGGGGGGGGAGGAGGTGGGTGGGATATTTAAGGAAGTTTGGCAACTGAAGGGGGAAGGTTTACCCCCCCCCTTTCCCACTACAATTTTGTATTTTGTTGTGAGAAAATTTTGCAACAACCTCGTGTAAATCTTACTGGGAGGATGCAAAGTGACAGAATGACAAAAACAATACACATTTTAGTTTTTAACTTTTAAATTCCTGACCCAACTTAATTTTTTTTCTACAACTGTAATCACAGTGATTTTTCAAATTTTCAAGCGATTGATGTTCTGCGTCTTGACAAAGCGTCCCCTTAGGCTAGACTACGGCATTACAATGTGTTTTTTCACTCACCTTGGACTTGTTTCCTTCTTTAGCAAGAACTGCATAGAAGTCACTGTGCAAGGCAGCTTGAAGTAGTGTAACTTCCTCTAGAGAGGGCACAGAGCATATAATCTCCCCCATATCATGTGATATAATTGGTCCAAATTCTCCATTTACTCCAAGATCGATCTAAATCAAAAGCAAAAACAAAACAAACGAAAAATTAAAATATGAGAAAGTCCGAGTCCATTGATAAAGTTTAAGACCACCTCAGATTTTGTTGATGCTTCTGTCACTCGGCCTGCATTAAGAAAGTCTCATTGAATGATCACAGAATGGTTACTTAATACAGTGGTCGATATCATCGAGTAGTGCTACGAAACCTATATGATCCCAAATTTATTTGCAAAGGAAGGCCTGCTATAACATTTTATCTGCAATGCAGCATGGTAAAGGCCATTTTTAAAGGGCCCTAAATTATTCCATCCATCAAAATTAAGGGTTACTCTGAAGTCTGAGCATCAAATGATCAAGAGGACTGGTTGCAGCAAAACTGAGGTGTAGGATGCCATTTCAAGCAGTTTATTTTCCAACCAGAAAAGGGTTGGTAGTCCAATAAAACTAATTCAAATAGTTGACTGTTGATATTTATCATATGCCTATAGTGATGGGTATATGAAATGATACTGCTCAAGTATTATCATAATGTATGTTTCACATCAACCCCCCCCCCCTCCCCTCCACTACAACAAAAATGGACAGTCAATAATCATCATTGCTGGTAGTAAACCCACTTAAAAATATCATTAGTGTAAATATTGTATTAAAGACATCTCCTTGAAGACTTGTGCAAATTTGTAATGCTTCCTTCTCATCTCTTTCTTTCTCTCTTAAATGTTGTTTAGTGTATAAATTATTTGAAACTTTATTAATTTGATTTTGTATAGTGCTGGGTGCTTTGCCTATTTAATGAGCTATTACATTTCACCTTTGACCTAAATACTCAGAAATCGAACTTAGGCTGTACATGTACATGTATTTTGATACCATGTACCTTCATATTAAATTTCATTAAATTTGTCTAACATTACTCAAGTTATCGAATGGAAACCAGATTTGCATATTTAATGAGCTATGACCTTTGACCTACATATTCTGAAATTGAACTTAGGCTGTGTTTTGATACCATGAACCTTCATATCAAATTTCATTAAATTTGTCAAAACAATACTAGAGTTATGGATCGGAAACCAGATTTGCATATTTAATGAGCTATGACCTTTGACCTACATACTCTGAAATTGAACTTAGGCTGTGTTTTAATACCATGAACGTTCTTATCAAATTTCATTAAAATCCGTCAACCAATACTAAAGTTATGGATCGGAAACCAGATTCGCATATTTAATGAGCTATGACCTTTGACCTACATACTCTGAAATTGAACTTAGGCTGTGTTTTAATACCATGAATGTTCTTATCAAATTTCATTAAAATCTGTCAAACATTACTAAAGTTATCGATCGGAAACCAGATTGTATTTTTTCGCATATTTAATGAGCTATGACTTTTGACCTTTGGCCTACATACTCCAAAATCAAACTTAGCCTGTATTTCGATATCATGTACCTTTATATCAAATTTCATTAAAATCCGTCAAACATTACTAAAGTTATCGATCGGAAACCAGACGTGTAGTTTTTTGCATATTTAATGATCTATGACCTTTGACCTTTGACCTACATACTCCGAAAACGAAATTAGCCTGTATTTCGATATCATGTACCTTTATATCAAATTTCATTAAAATCCGTCAAACATTACTAAAGTTATCGATCGGAAACCAGATGTGTAGTTTTTCGCATATTTAATGATCTATGACCTTTGACCTTTGACCTACATACTCCGAAAACGAAATTAGCCTGTATTTTGATATCATGTACCTTCATATCAAATTTCATTAAAATCCGTCAAACATTACTGAAGTTATCAATCAGAAACCAAATTTGTTACGGACGGACGCACGGACGGACGCACAGAAGGACGCAAGGCAGCGTTACTATAATTAATCTACATCTGCACAGTTCAACTTAAGTTGATGCAGTTAAAAATGATTGAGCATCCCATTTGGCTTTTCATATATAAGTCATTTGTAAAGTCATGCGTAACTTTACGAACAGCTTTATGAAACACCCCCTTGGAGTACTGGTTAAACATGATCTGAAATGTTCATATCATGTGAATAATATTGTCAAGCGAGCAAGCACAAAACTATACATGCTCAGAATATTAAACAGATTCAAACTTCCAGCAAATGATCAAATTTGTCTACTGTTCTTACGTTCGGCCCATGGTAGAATACTGTGCCCCTGCTTGGCCCTCTGGGCTAACTGAAAACCAAAGTAATCAGATTGAAAGAATCCAAAAAATGAGCATGCTGCCTTGTGCTTGGACTGCACTACTGTTCTTACTAACATGCTCTAAAAGAATTGGAACTGCCCACTCTCAATGAATGACGAGAGAAACTAGCATTGAGTCTGTTCAAAAGATTGACCAGCCCATCATCAAACTTTCACCACGGGCTTCCTCCATTGCAATCAACTTTACATTGTTGATCATTGCGAAATGGCCAAACCTAGTCCGAAGTCTTAAAACGGAGTGCTTCAAAAGAAGTGCTCCTCCTCTACCTCATCATGCTCTTGAATTTAAATTTAAAGTAAAGGGGGAGGGGGATCCATAAATAAATCTGTTGTGCATCATACTTAGGTAAAAGTACCCGCAAAATCCCTTTATCCTCGGTTTAATGCGTTTATCTTGTCATTTTTGTCAATTATTTTTTGTTAATTAGTTTATTATATGTACGATTTTACACCCCATTCAAGCCCTGCTTAACAATTTGATACAATTTATTGACCAATTTGAAGGTTTGTAATTATGCAATATTTTTTACTCTTTTTAATACTCATACCGTTGATTAATTATATTCTCTTTTGAACTCATCCTAAATACTTTTGACTTTGAATTAAACCAAATTATTGCTATATCTGCCAACAACCCAGAGGCAAGAGAGGGAGAGAGACAAAGAAGGGGAAAGAGAGGGGGAGGAAGAGGACAGATAAAATGGTGGGACCGATGGACATAATTTAATTTGATCAAAAGTGCAATTTACTTCTCTCCATGAATTATGTACTGCGAGCATCATCTGGCTTTTGGATATTCTTACCATTTTTAGTATTGTATTTTATGTATTTCTAAAACATGCTTGTAAAATGTGAACAATTCAGCCATTGGCTGCTAATCATATGTTTTTTAATTATACAACAAATAAATGAATTAATATTAAATACCCATTCCTAAAAAAATGCATGTCTGTAAATACCTGATGGGTTTGCAATTGAAGGGGAAGTCCACCCAGATATTGGTAAGTTGGTTTTAATAAAAGCAGGAAAGGGAGAGAAACAAATTATTGGAAGTTTGAGCATCTTCAGCACCTTCTGCTGTCATCACATACTGACCATCCTCTCAAACATCAGAAACCGAGTCCTCCCCCGCCCATCTTCAAAACTCATAACTGTCACTGACCTGTTTTTCTCATTTTCTGCTTCTATTCAAACCAAGTTAATATCAGGGTGGACATCCCCTTTAAATTATAATACTTATAAATGTTTGTAAGATATCAAACTTACCACATCTCTATGTACACCTAGTCCAGTGAATATACAACCTGCTATTGTGTGTGCTGTCATTAATGGCTGTATTGTCAGATATGATATTCTACCCCTCAACAAGGCTGCAGTGTCTAGGTCCTGACTCTCAAAGGATACATCAACCAAGAAATTCATATTTTTTTTGTCTGAGGTGCCACCCTGTAACATGCATTTCATGACATGCTTGGCAATGGTTTTGTCCCGTGATACAGTGAAGTACAGGAGATACCTAAACTCTTCCTTTCTAGGCAGCACTACTTGCTCAATCAGCCTGTTGAATTCATTGTGATCCAATTCATACAGGGAAGCAAGATGGACCGCAGCTATGTACTCCTGAAATAGTTTGTGTGGAAAGAAGATAGTAGACTGCAGGAACATACTGCTCTTATCATACAGGTTAGATGACAAATTTTTCTCCTGAGACAACACCCCTACTCTGCAAGCTGTTTCAATGGAGTCTGAGCACTGTGCAAAATCACCTTCTTTGAAACTAAGGGTGTTTTCTTGTAGCCCGATGAAAGCAACTTTGGCAACTGGTTCCATGAGCTTCTCAATTTGAGAGCGATAGGCTTGGAAAGATGGGCTGTCTAAATCTGTGATATTTTTCTGAGCATAATGCACCTTCAAGAATTCAAACATTTCATCAAATATTTGAGAAAAAGTTTGTAATGACTTCAACTTTTCTTGTTTTTTGTCACCAAGTTCTCTCCACATAAGACAGAGCATAGCTATGTAGATAGGAAACGGGGCCATATTCTTAGATATGATGACATTGTCCTTGGTTAATTGGATAAGCTGATCTGCTTTGACCGTATCTTCAGGAAAGTACTTGTGAATGTAAACCTCCACATTCTCCTTGCTAAAACCTTCCACATGAATGAAAGTGTACAGCTTCCTCAGACTATCATTATCTCTTATCTCTGTGACCTTCCATGGGCGACTTGTCACCAACACCGGGCAAGTGGCAAGTTCATCTGAATGAAGAATGTCTGTAAGTGCAATGTCACCTCTCTCTGAAGAACTTCCACTTGCCTCTGCACTGTTGACTCTTGGCTGCAAAGTGGCACTTGATGACTTTGGCTGCATTGACTTTTGCTGCTTATTCTTGTTCATCTTTGATTCTGATCTTGCCTTGGTTTGATCAGCAGACTTTGGCTGGTGACATTCAGACTTTGAACCAGCTTCCCCTTCCTGTACAACCTTGCCCTTAAACTCATCTAATCCATCAAACGCAATGAAAACATGAGTTGGATTTGATCGGATGTACTCAGTGATCTGGCAGGCTGTTGCTGGGTTGTCCTTGGAGAGATACGACTTGGCAATCTCACCGATCGTGTATTGTTTGGCTTCACGAAAAGGGACAACAAGTACCCACACAAACTTTGGGACAGCAGGACTGTCATTTATCCAGTCCCAGGCAATCTTAGCACAGAATGTTGTCTTTCCAGCCCCAGCCTCTCCCTGAACCATGATCCGTTTGGGGAACTCTCCATTGACTTCGAGTTTAAAGAGATCACTGTACTCAAGTGGTCGCTTGCGTTTTTTCCGATATTCCTCTTCCAGGACAAGGTTTGTGTACATGTCTGTGAATGGTACAATGGAATCAGGGTCGAGAGGATCATGTCTGATCTTACAGAAAGCTGTCCGGTACTTGAATTTGAAATCATCTGCACATCTCTTGATCAGGTCAGGAGAAAGTGATTGGGTCTGTGATCCTGGCCTTGTAACAGGTGCACCTTTAAAAGTGTGATAATTTCTTCTGAATATCAAAATGTTTTTGTTTAGGATATTCATAACATTATACACATGAACATAAAAACAAATTTCTGATGTATTTATTGTTGTCAACTTTTCAAGATCAAATGAGAACAGATAATAACTTATTGTCTGCACATCATACATATATATACTATTGTTGATGCATGACATTTCTGTTTGTTTTCTTTCTTATTTATCTCAATAGAATTTGTCTTTAGGTATGAAGGTATATACATATGTCTATATATGTATCCATCAAGTAACATGTCAATATCATTAATTTCCATCGCTTAACAGTATGGACAATAATGATGAACCATATAAAGCTTATATTTTATAGCTCAAAGAACAATTACACTCGAAATAGAAAGAAATGAGAGAAATGTAGATTTCCTTTTGTTTTGTACACAAAAATCAGAAATTATCCATTTTGGGGCTAACATTATAAGGTCACAAAAGATAAAACGACTCTGAAATGGTACAATTTTCATAAGCTTGGTGTCAAAAGATGAGCATGACTTGAAAAAAATGGTCAGAAAGTAGCTGGGCTTGAAATGCCAAGAAATTTGAATGATAATCCTTGTACAGCCTCATGTAAAACTAATTTCATCATCTCCCTTTAATACACAAGTACCAAGTGAATGGGTCTGTAGCCATGTATTAATGGCCACAGCCCATGAGACCGACAGCTCACAAGACCGACAATATCTGTCTAGCGAACCATCTGAAAAGTTGTTAGAAGGTCCATGAGACCAACGACCCATGGACTGACAACCCACAAGACTGACATGTTGGTCTCGTGGGTGTTCTGACAACTATTTTTTTAAGGGTTTAACAGACCGGCAGTATCAGTCTCATGGGCTGTTCGTCTACTTGGATGTCCTGCTATAAAATAATCCCTATTTGTACCAAACGAGGAAGTGTCAAATTAGTGTTTGTTGGCTGCCTGCAAGAGCAATACATTATCAATGGCAGTAAAGGCCTTCTTGCAAGCAGCCGACATGATTCTTTTTTTATTCTCACCTGTCCTGTTTGGGACTAGACTGCCAGCAAGTAGTTCGCCAGAGAGGGACCCTAAGTCACTTCTTTCTAATTCCTCTGCAAGAAGAGCCCTGATGTCTGTGTCTGGAGGCTGTTTGTCTCTCCATCTTGTGAAGACTGTCATCAATGCATCACTGGTATTTAGGCTGCGTTCCTTGATTTGCCCAAGCTCTGCAATGGAGATGTCCAGGTTAATGCCCACTTCTTGGTAGTGGCTAGGTTCAATTTGCTTGGACAGCTTTAAGAATTCCTTTTCACTGACAATCCTGTAATTAAAAACAAGAGTTTATCAAGCATCTCTTAAGTATCTCTTAAAGCCCTTCTTAAGTGTTGGGAGCCCCAAATTCACCACTATTTGGAGGCAAAATTTCACTTAAATTGTAAAGATTTTCCCCCAAAAAAATGTGTTTGAAGACAAATATTGATTTAAAAAAAATACATAATTTAGGTTTTCTGTTGTACGCAAAGAACCTAGATTTTGTATTCTTTAATCAATATTTGACATCAACACATTTGTTTTTAAAATCCTGCAAAAATGTGTTTAAAATGACATCCCTTTTGACATTGTGATACAATTTAAGTGAAATTTTGCCATCAAATTCTTGGGGCTCCCAACACTTTAGAGGGGCCTTAAGTGTCTCTTATTGTGTTGTAACCCCTACTATATAATTCATTAAAAGCACCTTTCTTCATACTTTGTAAGTTTAGTTCAGTTCTTGATGAGCTTTTGGGCAAAACAGACTGTACAACTAATTAACTACATGGTAGAATAAAAACCAACCTACAAATATTTCCTACAGTTGAGCAATGTCAGTAACTGCAGCTTCACGAGCATACCTATCTGATTTTATTGAGCTACATGTACTGATGATATTTATTCAAAGGTATATTGAAGCATACAGACACAAGAATATACCTCATTGAGCAGTGCATTTGAATATGGAAGAAAAATTGGCATGCATGCAGTGGTGTTATGGCTTAATAGTAAGACAAATACTTAATATCCCTACTGCTCATTACTGTTGCAATAAAGAACTGGAAATAAGCTTCAAATACATATAGACTGACCTGTCTGGTCCAGGGTTGGTTTCAACATCACCAGATCTCATCAGGAGGATCATGAGCAGATAGAGAAGGCAGAATCCATCCATGGTGCAAGATGTTCTTCTCATTCGACAGAAACTCAGTCCGCTGGAAAGGTACATGAATGATAACCCCAGCAAGACATCCTGTAATTGACCATAAAAAAGGGGGATTCTAGTTACTATGCATACTAAAGTGACATGTATTTACAGTGTACATAAAATGGATTACTTTTTAAAACTTTTTTTCCTTATCCAAACATTTGCCTCTTGACTTGACTTGTGTGATTTAATACTGAACTATATTTAAAGATAAAAGGGGCTGAAATATATGGGGCCCCAAGTGTAACACATGTGATTCTGTCACAAAATCAATGTTTTATCACAAAAAGCAATCTCATCAAGTGATTTTGTGATAAAAATCAATTTGTGAGATTGCTTTTGTGACAAAATCAAATGGTGAGATTGATTTGGTGACAAAACATTTATTTTGTGACAGAATCACATGTGTAACACTTGGCACCACAGAGAAATGTATTATATTTGGGGGGGGGGCGATGTACCCATGTCTGACAAAATATATATATATTTAAAGGGTTTATGATTACTAGTAAAAATAATTAAATATCTTATTGGGAATATTCTGATTATATAGGATGTGTATATATATAAAGAAATAATATTATGGGAATTGACACAAGAGCATGGTGATGTCAGATACAACTGTAAATGGGATAATTTATAGATTTGAACAACAGTGACAAAACACACTTGCACTAGATCTCGGGAGGGGGGGGGGGATGCTCCCCCCAAAATTCTTTCTCTCTTAAATATTTTTTTTTTTTCTTTGACAGCCAAGGCTGTGAGTCGGTGTGTTTAACTGACCCCCAGTACATTAAAGTCAAATTTTAAATGAAAATCCAATCCTAATAGCTAATACTGCTCTTACAGAAAGCAGAAATTTTGAATAACGAAACTGGTGAAAGTTGAAATGAAATTGAGTCAACTCAATAATAAGAGATTATGAATGTTTGAAATATGAGAATACTCAATCTATGTGAATCTCAAATTTGTAATTTGGTCTGTGGATTGTGTCAACTCTTCTGTTTTTACGTACAAATTTTTTTCTTCTCCTTCTTATTCTCCATTGGGGCACGTCTCATAATATATTATGGATAGCACACCATCATAGGTCGTTTTTTGAAAAGTTGAAATTTTTGTCATTTTGATTTTTGAAACAAATTGTAAAGTTTTAGGTCACTAGGTCAAAGTGACATTACAGATTTAGCCATATATGATATATAGCAGGGGCGGCTGAGCGTCTTCCAAAGTGAGGGGGGGGGGGGGGGGCACCAACAAAGGGAAACCCCCAAAGTGAACACACCATTTTTTAGACATTGAACTATACCCCTACATCGTCATGATTGTGATTACACTACCAGGAATGACATCAACATTTTTTCTCTCTTTATGTGGTCCAAGATACTGCTTAAGCAACAAAGTTTGCATTTGGGTGTGACGGTCTGAATATCAATATTAATATAAATATTAATATTTATATTTATAGTAATGTTTTTGAGCGAGAAAGCAAAAAATTTAAGATTTGTGAGGTCCCAGTGCGAAAAATTAAATCATATAAATGAAGACAAAAAACAACTCTGATAGAATTTTAAAGCACAGTCTAATATAAAAGAAAGACTGAATAGTTCTTTTATAGGTAACATGAGCATGCGTAGCGAGCAAGCTATAATAAATATTAAAGACAAAGTCACTTTAAATTAGGGGTGCATGTTATGGAGAAAGGAAAAGTAGGCACTTATCAGAAATGGGGCACTTCTTGCACCTGAAAAGGCCTTAACAGAGATGAAAAAAGGCACTGGTGAGAATGGAAATAGGGAATCTGTTGAAGGAAAAGGCGTGCATACCATAAATGCAAAATGAGCCATCGATGGTCTGTTTTACGCTGTGGCTGCTGCGGTCCAGTAAACTTGATTGACTTACAGTTGCAAGTTGCAGGCAACTTCAAGATATTTTCACAGTACCGGCCCATACCAATTTATTTTGCAATGCATTGGCACAAACTTAGATCAAGATCTATCGGCAAATGTTGGTTTAGCAATTTATTTTCCTATTCATGTCAACAATGCAAGATAAAGTTGTCGGTAAGATGTGTTGAAATGTCCTGTACCATAGTGGTATAGTTATTGTACCGTTCGTAGTCCCATATGTGCAAAATTCGTGCTGGTTTTGACTCGATTTTTTTAATTTTTTTTTTACTCTTTCGCTGTAAAGGCCGCACCCCGACTTTTGATATTTTCTCTTCCAAAAATACTGCGGCCTTTATGCCGGCAAATACGGTATTCTGGATTTTCAGGTCCTAGAAATCTCCAAAAACAGAATATTCTGAATTATTCGTAAGGGTTGGCAGGTATGGTATTGTGTGCACATAGCTTAGCGCAGCGGCCTAGTCCGTGTGTGTGTTGACCTCGAATCAAACTTTCATTGACAGGTGTATAATTTCATTTTGAGACAGAGAATTTATTTTACTCAAATATAAAGTAAAAGACTTGCAGAAATTTGAGTACCGTACTGCAAATTTTGTGAAAATAAGAAAATTACAGCTTTAAAAAATCCAAACAACTAGGATCATTCTCATTTTGTTTTCTTCGTAACATTGGATAACAAATTTCACAATGTCCAACATATACCCCATTCACAGTGGCCTCAAACATCGCGACAGCAGCGGGACTGTCCCGCTGCTGTCGCGGTGTTGTCTTCAGTGTGAAGGCTCGGACCCGTTATAAACTATCGCGGGATAACACCGCCTCGCGATAACGCCGCGACAAACTATCGCTAGGGACAGTCCCGCTGCTGTCGCGGTGTTTACTCAGTGTGAAGGCTCTCCGCTATAACACCGCGACAAACACGTGTGATTTGTTTACTTACCTATCACTGACCTCTTTTCTCCAGCAATGGGGAACATAAAGTGAAATAGAAATAAAGTAACCAGTGGATTCAAATTGATTTTATTATTATGCAGATATTATAATTATCCAAATAAAAATATTTCACACTTCAAAAAATTAAAATATTCTGACTGGAAGCAATAAAAATGCTAGTTTTTTAAAAAGTAATATGATCGAGGATACAAAAAGTACAGCTAGCGCGCGCAATTTCAAGCAATCGAAAACCCCGCGCTGAAGTATTTCCGGTCATATCGGGGTCACTCGCGGGTCATGAGCCATGCATACACGTGTTTGTTACGGAGGTAATAAAAATCACCCGCTGCAGCGTGAATGGGTACATGATATTTATCCCGCTGCTGCAGCGGGATAACTTTTCTACTGTGAATGCATTTGTAGCGGTGTTATGGCGGTGTTATGGCGGTGTTATGGCGGTGTCGCCGCTCCGCTACAACGCCGCTACAAATTTCAAAACCACTGTGAATGGGGTATTAGACAGATAGAATAACATTGATAATTTAGATTATTTAGTGCCAGGGTGAATATGACAATGACCCGGAATATAATACCATGATAAAAATTCATCAAATGACTTGTAATACTTGTCCACCTGCACACCCCCAGTATAGTACGATAATACTCTGTAAAAGGTCTGTACTCAAAAGGAAGAAGAAGAAGTTCTTTAAAAAAAAAAAAAAATTGGGGGGGGGGGGGGGGTCGTACCACGCGTTTTTAATTTCTTGGCGAGAGGCCTGCCTACTGCGATATATTTTCAGTTCTAAAACATGGCACTTCATTTCGCTCAGTTTTCACATATTAAAGCCCCTCTGCACTAGTTTGGCATGGAGGGATTAGACCTCCCTGCAAGGTCACTTGTAGGTGGTTATCTAATCAAATCAGCTCTCAATTAACATGAGCAAAAGGGCATTATGGGGGATCAAAGGGTACTGCTTAGACATTGCTGGCTGTAAAGAGGGCGCAAGTAGCTAAAAGTAGTGCAGTGGGGCTTTAAAACAGGGTAACAAGAATTTAACAACGGCAATATTTACGAGCTAATTAGAACAACTCTTATTCTTCAATTTGATATTTCAATTATTTCATCTGGTGGTTTCTAAAGCGAGATTCTACAGTATACCGGTAGCTGAGACTCTTTCGTAGTGGTTTACCGTAAACAAGTTAGGTTTAAACATATGTAAGGCTTCACAGACAAAAGCTTTCGCACCCTTCGTAATGTACCCTAGCCCCAGGTTTTTTTTCCTAGTTATTTTATTCTTCATTATGTTGTAAAACTCTGATGAAACCAAAAACGACAACAATGCCTGTAAAAAGATAGAAGGATAAATACAAAAGTCTGAACTCCAAGCTCGACTATACACTCAGCTCAACCACTACAGCAAAGCACAGAGTCAATGCTACATGTAATGCGTATTGACCTCTAGCACTGCATACTCGCTGAGAGGCAGGTATAACACACAATACACACACCACACTCTATTGGATACCAATGTAAAACCGGTGTGGCTGATCGGCAAATTTGACCCTAGACTTTCAACTTGAATTTTTAAACTACCGGGTATTTTTTTTAACATCTTCTTCTTCTTCTTAGTTGATCCCTCCACTGTTTTGGAGATTCCTGGAGTCCAAATAAAGTAAATGTTTAAAATCCGACCAGTTAGAAGCTTTGGAGAGTCTTAGAACGAGAAGCTTCAATTTTGTGTAGGAAAAAGAGCGATAGTAGAAGTAGGTTATTATGATTTTCGGAAGGCAGGCATGGATGCAGGGGTAACAGAGTAGTAGGGGTAAATTGCTGTGGGTCATTATCCTTATATAGGTTTAAACAGATGGGATAATCCATGAGGCATTCCTTGACTTTGCTGATGAAATCCTGACGAAGATGGGCCAGGTATGAGCAGACTCCAACAAAGTGCTCCACTGTCTCATCATTGGTTTTACAAAGGGGGCATGTAGAGATAGGTGATTTCTTAAGCGTGAAGAGACGGCATTGTGTCAAGTAGGTGGATGTGAGTAATTGGGCTCTCACTATAAGGGCTCTTCGGATGGGAGGAGATGGTGCATTCTTTGTAAGATGGTAAGATGAAAAAATGGTATTTTACTCATATTTAGGTGTCATATCAATTGTCACTAAAGTACCGATTTTGAGTGAAATCACTCAGTTGAGTTTTGTACAGTGGTGTTTGAAATGTTGAGAATCAATAAAACAGCTTTTAATACACAGCCAGGATAGTAATGCAGATATGTGTCATTGTGGGAGATCAACAGCATTCTTGCAGACTCTCGGTAAACGTAAAATAAAATAGACCCTACTACACAAACAGCAAATTACGAGTGACACTGTGCGAGAATGGGTCAACAATAAAGAGCAAATTGCCTTATACTATAGAAGGTTGACAAATGTTAGTTATAAGAAAAATAACCCCATACTCACCAGATGGTTATTTTCTATGACTATATCGTGGTTTTGGAAACCACTCGTTCATCCGATATCCGCATGCACAAGCTTGTTTACAGTTAAGCGCTACTACTGATTAGGCCTACAGGCTAACCTCTGACCTGTGGAGTGGCATGGCCTGTTGGCCGATGGGAAGAATTCAAGAAAAAAAATTTACTGTGCGGATCGGATCCGAGCGAATGGTGGTTTCCTATTCACGCAAGTGTCATTTCTGTCTACAGCCTGGGCAGCTTGCATGGATGATGGAAATCAAGATTCTACGTCAATAGCGAGAAATTAGCTGAAAATAAGACTGTGACATCGGGATCGTCGCGCACGTTATGCATGCCACTACTGTATTTGTCTATGATGTCCACGACCGCGCCTTATATCGTGCGGGCGGGCGGCGAATTTTTTTTCCGTACTCGAGAGAGCAAAAATCCCATGTGCGCATGCGCGTGGACTTATGATTTCTCTGCTACTTCCCATACGAAATGTACATGTATTCGCATGTACTGTGCACGATTCGCGTTCTACGAGTAAACGATGGCACAGTAGTCTTCAAACACAGACTCTGATTTGCCAGTTTGACAAATCAATATGCGTATGTGTCGCGATGTGCTTATTCAAGTCTGTGTAGTTGTATGATTCAGACCCAGTAGTGCATATGGAAATACATTGCAACTTGTATAGAATGGTATAGTAGTCTGCAAGCACAGACGCTAATCTGACAGTTTGACAACAACACTCATTTGATGGTAGAGCTCATGTACGATTGTATGCTAATTAATAACTTTTTAATTCAGGCCTACATTTAAAATTAAGTGGTGTGGCGTGTATGGGTGTGTGTGTGTGCTTGTGCTTTAATAAAAGAGATACTTGTAACTTATACTAAATGTTGTTATCAATTTTAACATAATAAATCAATACAAAGGACGGAAACTAGATAAAAATCACAATTTTATTATTCATTCGACCATTGATTGCACTGACCATGGACCTACTACAAATGGACACTGATCGGTACTATAATATATTCATGCACCTGATTCTGTCAAAAGTATAATAATGACATTCCAAACATGCTTCCAGGCTTTGATCTCATCACGACCGCCGCCAGTCAGTCATAAAAACCCCTAACTGTGCCTTGAAGAAACAACAAAATGCCTGCGCAAAATAAACTGAATCGCTTAAAATCACGGAAATGCATGTGCAGTTGTGGAGTACATATGAATATTGACGTATATGAAGTTTTTAATAGGAAATTAGAAGTAGTTTACAAGAGAAACCTGAAAATTTGGCTGTAACATAAAGATTTTAAACTTCATTTCAAAACTTATCCTATCCATTTCCAAGGAATAGAAGGTGATAGGACAGTAAAGGACATGTATTTTTCAAATTCTGGCAGGTCCACATGTATGTCCACCAGTGTCCACTCCTTTAATAATCAATCTAATATCACTCAAATTGTCATAATTTGGGGTTCACTGCTCCTCTAACTGGTCTTAAGTCACGATACTTTTCCTGGAACTACACTGGGCACTGGCCCAGCGAAAAGTATCTGAAGAAATGTAAAAGGTTCTTTTGTCTGTGATGATGCGTGATTACATAATCGACATTGTCCCTTCGAATGAATGTCCTTATCAACATACACATTATCAGGTGACGGTGGTCATGATATGATTAATGAAAGACTCTCATTATTAGTCCATCTGTAGTAGGTCCATGCACTGACAAAAGAGTTATTAGACCAAAGTTAGAAATATTATTACAGAATGACGGTTTTGAGAAGGCCAATAAATGACCTTATGGTGTGTGGGTTTATCATATATAGGCCTACTATCGTTTGTTCAGAGCCAGAAGTGCATTCGTTGTGTTAAGAGTTAACATCCTTCTGGCTCTCAGCAGACCATGATTATAAATAAAAGTAATACAGAGAGTGCGAGCATACTGGAGGGAGAGCTAGAGAGAGAGAAAGAGAGAGAGAGATAGAGAGAGAGAGAGAGAGAGAGTGAGAGAGCAGTGGCACAACACAGAAAACTACGAAAACTTGAATAAAAGCACTACTCAATACACAATAGGCCTATATTATTCTGTCAAACTGTCAAAGGAGAGTCTGTGCTTGCATACTACTATGCCACTCTATAAGTTGAGGTGCATTTCCAATACACGCACCAGTAGGGTCTGAATCATAAAACTACTCAGACTTGAATAACACTATTTTGTCAAACTGTCAGATTAGCGTCTGTGCTTGCAGACTACTATGCCACTCTGCAAGTTGAGATGCCTTTCCAATACACGCACCAGTAGGGTCTGAATCATAAAACTACACATATTTGAATATAAAGCACTACTCAAGACACTATGTTGTCAAACTGTCCGATTAGCGTCTGTGCTTGCAGACTACTATACCATGCTATTCAATTTGGGATGCATTTCTGTAAGCACTAAAATGTCTGAATCATACAACTACTCAGACTTGAATACTAGTACTATTGCTACGCACGATATATGCGTAATTGTTTTGTCAAACTGGCAAATCAGAGTCTGTGTTTGAAGACTACTATGCCATCGTTTACTCGTAGAACGCGAATCGTGCACAGTACATGCGAATACATGTACATTTCGTATGGGAAGTAGCAGAGAAATCACAAGTCCACGCGCATGCGCACATGGGGTATTTGCCCTCTCGAGTACGGAAAAAAAAATCGCGGGCGGGCGCGCGCGCTCTTATAATTACCTCATTGGGAATCCCCTAAAAATGTATGTGTGTGTGTGTGTGTAATTGGGTTTTTACAGACGTGTATCAATCAGATATGATTATTTACGTCTGGGGACCGACCTTTAACGTCACCATCCGAAAGACGTGACTCAGTTTCGAACCTGCGCTCTCGGCTGAATTAGTTTGTAACTTCCACTGTTAGCTGGATTACAGGCGCACGCCACAACGCCTAGTTGTACTGAGCGAGGCGGGAAGATTCGCCGGCAATTCGCTCGAAGATGTCGTTGACGAAGCTGTTCATGATGACCATGGCCCGACTGGAGATGCCGGTATCTGGATGAACCTGCTTGAGGACTTTGTAGATGTAGATTCCATAACTCTCCTTCCTTTTCCTGTTCCTCTTCTTGCCACCGCTGGGCCGAGGGGCCTTGACTGCCTTCTTGGAGCCTTTCTTAGCAACTTGAGCTGTTGGAGCCATGATGAATTGATGAATTTCTGGTCTGTAAAGATGCAGCGAAACGAGTAGGTATGGTTGTTGTTGTTATTGGCGTTTAGATGGCGCTCTTCAATCTTGACAGATTATCTGCGCCACGGCGTTCCTTCTTTGAATTTGGTGCATGTTCATCTTGTCGAACTTGATCTCATGGCTCATTTTTTCTGATGGGGGGTCTCTCTTTCCAGACTTCTGTTTTCGAGTTAGTAGTTGGCTCACCTCTCTCAGCGAATTGCTACTGTGCAACTTTTAATTATATTTAATTTCCCTTCACCCCTTCACCATTAGTCGTGATTTTAATCATAAGGATGTCATCCTCGATGATATTCAAACATTTCAATCATAATCACAATATACTCACAGATGAAACGCACTAGATCTAGATCTATACAAAAATTCCAAATCTGTTTTTAGCTTTAATATAATCTAAGATGACTCTAAAATCCGATAAATTCCCTAATAATTTTACTAAATCTATCGTATTACATTTCAATCGTCTTTGCATTATCCTTCTTTCTCTTTTATAATAACAAATAATATTAGTGAACATTTATAATGCGCCATGTCTGTCAAAAAGATGACACTCCTGGCGCAGTGGTGTGGAAATTGTATATACGACCATCAAGTAATTCAAGAAAGAAAGTAAAATACACTTAAGTTAAAGTTTATATTTCTTGCATTGTAGTAAAAAAAAAAAAAAAACGCTCTATAGTTTCTGAAACCTTACAATGGATACACAATCCATCTTCATGTTGATTAATAATGTGCTGATAATAATTTAATTTGCACTTCCCTAGTTTCAACTGATGTATTATTACTTTCTCCTTTCTATTAAAACCTTGGATATTTTCTGTTTTTGTGACATATGGCTGAATTCGCCATGCCAATATGCGGTTATAGCTATTAAAAGGGGTTGAATAGCTGAATGAGATCAAAGACATATTTGTTGTTGCTGCAAGTTATGGTCATTGGTCACAATCTTAATCATTTTTTTCTCATCTGGTCTGCCAGTTTTTATGTGCAATCTTTACTTGTTATTATATTTTTCATCATGTTGTAAATTGGAATGGTATAATTACGTTGTTAATTACATAGGAATTATGTGGTGGAAATGTCCCCGTTCCCTGCTTCTTCAGTCAATGACAAAATGTTTCCCTCCTTTTTTGGAGGATATCTCTATTATTCATTTAGAGTAGGCTACCCCTATAGGGGTTCTCATTGAACTCTTTGCATGAGTTCATTTCTTTTGTGTTATAGTGCTGGCATTGGTGAATGATATATATATATATATATATATATATAATGATTTTTTTTTTTAAAGGTAGGTTTTATCTGTAAAAATTTACATCTCGCTGGTATTACCAATTTCTGGTCAAATTATCGAAAATGCTTTTGAATATTCAGATCTGTGTCATTGATGGAGATTGGTGTGAAAGATAGAAGACACACAGGAAAAGAGACAAAGAAAGTATGAACTTCCGTTTCACCTCAAAATGCAACATTTTTCCGCTCTAAAGGGGCAAGGAATATATTCCCTCCCGGACTGGTCAATCTGCCCCCTCAAATGTTAACAATCAAGTACAGCATGTTTTAACCAGGGTGCCGCAAGACATCTAGGGGTGCCCTAGATAAATGTTGTTATATATTTTTTGATAAATGTTGATGGAATAACGTCGATTTCATGAAACCCGAATATTAGAAACATCTACAGTTTGTAATTCACTTGGAAGTAGCATTTTGAAGATTATAAAGAGTCTTTCTTCCTGACTCCCTTCGCTCGCTCGCAAAGTTTAGAAACAGGACGACATGTGGGCACCGAGGGGCTCGAACGTCCTTCTATTTGACAGCAAGGTACCCAAATATATCTTATATTTTTAATATGTTTCCCACGCTCATTCGCTTTACTCGCTTGCCGACATTATACCAGCATAATTATGGGCAATGAGATGGCCGAATATCCTAATATTCATGTATCGAGGGGACCGAATATATGAGTTTGTGTACATTCATCGGCGAGGTGCACGCATACATTATCATATGTCTATTATCTAATTTGTTGATTACAAATTAAATATTTGCCATTTTTAAAATTATCTTTTCTTAATATAATAATATAATAATCTTTCTAATTTAGAATCATATATGCCCGTTTGTGTGCATATGGCAAATGACGAGTGCCAGAGAAATGTAAAAGGAGCGTTTTGTGATGGGTTTGGGATTGGGGTGGCGAATGGCTATTTTTAATTTTTAAAAGGGTGCCGTGACAAACAAATTGTTTAAAAAACACTGATCTAGTAGACTAAAGACTGTTACCCCCCCCCCCCAAGACTGAGCCCGCGCTACGTCACTGGTTCTCACAGTACATGTTCATTTATAGCGGCAAGAGGGCAGGGGGGGGGGGGACGTGGGTAGCAGGGAAGATGTTTTTCCCCTTTCTTTTTATTTCTTACAAATCTATCAACTCCTATTTATGATTGTGATTGTTATGTAATGTTGTGCTACTTTGTCATGTTATTATATCTTGTTATTATATCTTGTTATGTTATCTTGAAAATGGAAGAGATGAAAATGAATCTTAAAATGGTTAATAAAATTGTTCCTAAGTCTATACTTTTAGCAGGAATACAATTCAGTACGTCTTCTTTTCTGCTGGTTGATGTGACGAGCAAAATATTTCCTTAAAGGCATGTTTAACAATGTTTTAACATGCATTCTGGTGATACTTACTTGTAGCATCTTTTATGCCTTTCATAAATAGTGAGGATGAAAAAAGAATACACTGGTAGGCAGCGCAACCCTACTTTCCCAACTATATTATATTTACAGTAAAAAAAAAAGCCATATCGGCAGAACTGTTTGCTTAATACCCACATAATTATAGGCCTCTTGTATTTGCAAGATCCAAACTTGACTTGACTTATGGCTGTTACTTCATCAATCCAGAAAGTTAATATTACTAGTACTATTATTATCATTATCATCACTATAATTATTGCTCTAACCATCAATTTTCAGAGCCTATAAGTAAAGAGCTTGACACTTAATTGGGGAAAAAGTAGAATTCCCTCAACTAAAGAACCGAAATTTGTCACGGAGTGGCAGGCGCGGATCCAGGATTTTCCAATAAGGGGGGGGGGGGGGGGGGGGGGGGTGGCGGAAATTTGAAAACTGCGCAGACAATTTTTTTCAACTCAACATACCAATACTGACAAGGACATATTAGAAGCGCTATACAAGTAGCCACTATTATTATTATTATACCGGTACAATTTTTGACATTTTCGTCGGGGGGGGGGGGGGGGGGCTATAGCCTCTTGCCCGAAAAAGTAATTTTCTGGTTTCACAATTCGGCTAGTGAGCGAAGCGAGCGAGCAAAAATTTGAGCATAATATGTATTTTGTGAAAGTGTTATTTATCACCAAAATAAACGAGAAAAGATATCAAAAATTAATATTCGGACAGCTTGCTGCCCCCCCCCCCCATTACGCGCGAAGCGCAGAAGCCTTGATGTTTCATGAAATTATAAGAGAAAGAAGAGGATTCGATGTACCATTTTCGACTCTTAATCCTTGTCTGAATTCAGTTCGTCCCCCTCCCGCGCGAAACGCGGAAGCTTTGACCTTTCATTAATTCGTCGCTGTTTTCACGAAGTGACGGTAGTAAAAAAAAAAAATTGCATTCACTTTGCGTTACGATTTTCCTCACTACCGTCACTTTGTGAAAATAGGGACGAATTATTAGAGAAAGAAGACGATTTGTTGTACCATTCTCGACTCTTATTTCTTGTCTGAATTCAGTTTCCCCCCTCCCGCGTGAAGCGCGGAAGCTTTGACCCATTCATAGTTTAATGAAATTCCTAGAGAAAGAAGATGATTCGTTGTTTCATTCTCGAGTCTTAATCCTTCTCTGAATTCAGTTCCCCCTCCCGCGTTAAGCGCGGAAGCTTTGACCTTTCATAGTTTAATTAAATTATTAGAGAAAGAAAAGGATTCGTTGTACCTTTCTCGACTCTTAATCCTTGTTTGAATGCATTTTTCCCCCTCCCGCGCGGAGATTGGAAGCTTCGATGTTTTATTAAATTATTAGAGAAAGAAAATGATTCGTCGTACCTTTTCTCGACTCTTAATCCTTGTCTGAATTCAATTTCCTCCCCCCGCGCAAAGCGAGGAAGCTTTGACCTTTCATTAATTATTAGAGAAAGAAGACGATTGGTTGTACCATTTTCGACTCTTATTACTTGAATGAATTCAGCCCCCCCCCCCCGCCTCACGCGAAGCACGGAAGCTTTGACCGTTCATAGTTTAATACAATTATTATAGAAAGAAGATGATTCGTTGTTCCATTCTCGACTCGAAATCCTTGTCTGAATTCAGTTGCCCCCCTCCCGGGCTTTGCGTGGAAGCTTAACGTTTCATTAAATTATTCGAGAGAGAAGACGATTCGTTGTACCATTCTCGACTCTTATTTCTTGTCTGAATTCAGTTTCCCCCTCCCGCGCGAAGCGCGGAAGCTTTGACCCATTCATAGTTTAATGAAATTCTTAGAGAAAGAAGATGATTCGTTGTTTCATTCTCGACTCTTAATAGTTCATAGTTTAATAAAAATTATTATAGAAAGAAGATGATTCGTTGTTCCATTCTCGACTCTAAATCCTTGTCTGAATTCAGTTGCCCCCTCCAGCGCTTTGCGTGGAAGCTTAACGTTTCATTAAATTATTCGAGAGAGAAGACGATTCGTTGTACCGTTCTCGAATCTTTATCCTTGTCTGAATTGAGTCCCCCTCCCCCTCCCGCGCGAAGCGCGGAAGCTTTGACGTTTACTTAAATTATTAGAGAAAGAAGACGATTCGTTGTACGGTACCATTCACGACTCTTAATCCTTGTGTGAATTCAATCCTCCACCTCCCGCGCTTGACATTTCATTAAATTATTAGAGAAAGAAGACGATTCGTTGTACCGTTCTCGACTTGTCAGAATTTTCAAAAATGTTTCTTTGTCTGCTCCTTTTTCGTCCTGTCCTCTTACTGCCC